AAAACCTTTTCATGAATAAAATCCTAAAAAATCCTTTTTTACTTAATTTATTTTCTTATTTAGTTTAAAGTTAATTTTATTTAATTCTCCTTAATCAGTTTTTAATTAGGTCAAGACTAAACCCTTTCATAAAAAACAAACAAAATCATTTCTTTTTTTCATTTACATTCTTGCATTTTTATCTTCATTTTTGTACAATATTCAATATGGTTGTAATAATTATTTAGATTTCATTTTCTTGCAATTTCCCCATTTGTAATTTGTACACCCCCTCCCCTAAATGATGTAATAGCGTAGTAATTTTAAATTTCGCAATTTATCGCTTTATATACAAATGCTAGTAATTAGGGTTTTGTATGGAAAGACTAAAATCAATCAATTAGCAAACCCTAATTAAAGACAAATCAAGCATGAAAAATCAATACACTTGCGCACAAGCACCCCTAGGGTAAATCCACTTGGTTGCCTTACAAAAACGATCATATTACGCATGTGAGGTATCTAAGAAAAGACAAGCAAAATACAAGATCATAGTCCCTCGATGACGCTATCAAAGGTTGCCTTTCAAAATGATCTTAGTCCCTAAAGAAAAATGCCAAGATACCTTGCAACATTGTTAATCATGTTTATACGATGACCCACGCCCGTCCCTTTTACATCCAAAGATAGGGTTACTTACCAAATCAATAGTAAGATAACAATGTCAAAGGAAAAAGGAAATGAACATGAAAGACTTTTGAGTAGGTAGAATGTTCCTAGTTACTTGCTCAATTTCAAAACAAAACATCCTTGCTATTTTAAAAAAAACAAACACCTACACTTTCAAAAACATCTTTCAAACTTGAAAATATTTTTAAAAGATCAACACCTTTGTAAACATTCTTATGAACGAGAATCATTACAAAGTTTGCCTATACAATGACCTCTTTTCAAAAGTACTTTCAAAATCACACAAAGTACAATTTCAAACAAAAGCAAGTGATCTAGCAAGTAATTAAGAGCCCATAGAAAACCATGGATGAAAAGGGTGCTAATACCTTCCCTTTTCATAATCTACCTTCCGAACTCAAGAATTAATCTCAAATGTCTTTCCTGTGCTTTTTCACCTTTCCTTTTGGATAAAAGAAAAGTCGGTGAAGACTCTTGCTAACCGCAACATTTGTGATCAAACACAAAACACCTAAGTCAGTTCTTCCACCGTATCATACTCCCTAATGTGCTTCCAATATTCATGCCCCTGGGAATACAACTGTTTCACATACCAATGCAATTAATCCACAGCAGACACGTCCCTTAAGTCACTCCCAGTCTTTGTCACATGTTCCTTCTCACACAAACCTTGGTGGGCTTCCGAACTAGGCCAACTCTTTTCAACCCACCAACATCCCTATTAAACACAACCTTGAGGACAAGGATGTTTTTGGACCAAATAGTGATGATAGAAGGCCCATACAAAACAAAAACAGGCCCAGACGCTTGGAAGATTATGTTCTCAACTAAGAGGGTTTATTAGTAATTGTTATTGTTATTTGTCATTTCTTCTTTTGGGCTTAGCCCATTAGTATGATCCAATAGGATTGTGTGTTGTATTTAAAGTCACTTGTGACTTAAGGAAAAATTAAGGAATTAATCAGAATTTTATCTTTTTCTTGTTTTGTGTTTATTTCAATGGTGAAACCCTATATAGTTGTTAAACCCTCTTTATCATGTGTCCTTAGTTGTAATGTTCTTAATGTGTGAAAATAAGAATGATAGAGATACATGTTTATAACAACTTAAAGCTAACAAATCCATAATTGGCTCAAAACATAAACTATTAACGAACGAAATCACAAACCAAAAAACAAAGTTCAATCAACACACGGGAATCGAGAAAACTAGACCCAAGCTCCGATGGACCAAAAAATCCGTCAGGCCTAGACTTACTATCGCGCCACCACCACTGACCTCACCTCCAGACAAATTTCTGATTTCTGCAATCTCAAAACTATTTTATCTCTCTTCATCCCTTGATATTTTAAGGCATATTTCATCATCTACTTTAATCTTTTCGATTAAAACCTTTTTTCTTCATGCTATAAAAACATTTTTTTTATATCTATAACTCATCTCACTCTTGTGCTTGAAGTTAATTGTTCATCATTGAATGTGTCTTTTATATTTTAAATTCCTTTAACTTTGTGTAATTTTAATCATTTAAATGTTTAAACTTTGTCGACGTTTTAATATTTACCTGCTCACAAATTTACACATGATGATCATTCTCAAACGCCAAACCGGAAAATAAATTTGCACAAACTTATCCATAGCCATCAAAATCCAAACTAATCATAAACATTCTCAAGTTCAAATAAATCAGTCGATAATAGCATAGTGTTGTGTTTCAGATAATCGAAATAAATTTTGAAGTTACACGATAGGATGTTCTCTAGTAAGAACAATTGATTTTGATCAAAATAATCATCATGAATCTCTCTCATGGGATCTTCTTTTATCGAAGCAAGAAGTGGTGGCAATGACAATGGCAATGGTGGTGGAAGCTGATATTCTTGTTTAACTTGAATGTTGTTACCAAAACTAAGCAAAACATAAGAGTCATCAGAGGGCAAAATTTGGTCTAAATTTATATCTGATTGGATATAGCTTTTGCAAGTGTGATAACCATAATATGTAGTAGTGTACAATGGAGGATTCTCTTGAATTCTTTGAACATGTTTCATTGCTTCATAGTGCTGATCGTTCATGTGTGTGCACCTATAGTAGCTCCTGCATACATATTATCTATTAATTTTTAAATTTCAGCCATGTAAAAATTAAGGTTACATGTCATGTTTTTACCACTAGCTATACCTATAGTATATGGCGTTTCTTATCTTTTTCTGTCCATACTTTCTCCATGTATAACCATCATCAATCAATATTGAGCTAGTCTTTTCCCAGCTTGCTGAAATTAACCTAAAATATCAATCAATAAGTTTTTATTCAAAATTACATGATACTATATTAATTATTGAAAAAACTATATATAATCTAATAAATTCCTGGTATTCCATTTAAGTATGTGAGGTCTAGCTGTGATGTGTTCCAGATTAAGAGGAATAAGTTCTACTCTACTCTAGGTAGCGGTGGAAATATGCTGGCTCGAGTTAGGCTTTACCAAGTCTGAGTCTTACTTGCTAAAATTTTTAAAACCTTAGTCTAGTCTATGGTCCACCGTAGATTTATTTTTTTGACCTAAATCTGATCTTTTCAAAGGTCTGATTAATCTATTAGTCTGCTTAAAAAGCTTATATCATTTAAATATATGTAAATAAATAATTCAAATAATATTTAAATATACTAAAGAATCAAAAGTACAAAATGACTAAATATTTATTTACACTAACTTACTTGAGCTCACGTAGTAACATAAATTTTGTGAGATTATTTATTTGAGAGAATATATTAAAAAAATTTTATGATATTATTCATAAGATTTTTGTAACTTATTTTCACAAGTTCTTCAAGATAACTAAACTTATTTTTATATTTTAATATAAAATACACAGTATAATATAAAAAATAATAAATTTATTCATATTTATTAAAATAAATTAGCTTAATAGATTTAAAATATTTTTTTTTATCGCCTGAGACCTAACCTGTTTAATTAAATAATTTTATAAAAAACCTAAACATTTTCTACTTAAAAAAAATCTAATCTGATATTGAATTGTCTAGACTAGACCGTAGACCCATGTTAATTAGCATGTCATATGCTCACCCCTACGGCATGAGATATTATATTTTATTCATAAATTCGCCTCTTAAGAATACATACATATATTCCACGACGAAATTATATACTTTTTATGCTAGGTGAGGTATATGTAATGGTTTTGTTACTTGTATACCTTATCCCTTAACTTATCTTTTGATTATAATAAAATGAAAAATAACCTTTCAGCTAACCCTTAAAACTTAATGCCATCATATACAAGTTGTAAAGAGTGAAAATCATCTTATTCAAACTTAGGTGGAAAAATGTTTGAAAGAAATAATTGGTGAAGTCAAATATGAAAAAGATGTAAGTTGGTAGAAAACCTTTGAAACAATTCAAATACTCAAAGGAACTTAGTATAAGACATGAATATTTAAGGATTGTGATTCTTACTTTCTCTTGTTCGACCCTTTTTGTTATTTAAAATTTATTCTACTTGCTAGTATATTCGAAAAAGTTCCTCGAACATGTTGGTTTCACAATGACCAAAGTGGTGCGTGAACAACACGAATCATGTCAACATTTTAATATATAATACTACATAATTTTGAGTTTTTGTTATATAGGTTTTTAAAGTAATGGTTTCTAAAATTAAATCTTTTGTTTTTGATTCTGGATGTTCTTAATAGGTTAGACGGATCTAATGTTTCACATTACAGTGAAGTTTTCAGTTGTTTGTTGTTGCTATTTGTTGTTGCTATTGGAATATTTTTGCTTTTGTCTTTCTTTTGGGAATGGCCTATGATAATAATAACTAATTAGTTGCTATTGGAATATTTTGATTTTACATTTCAAGCATTAAATTTAATCATTATTAATTTATTGCTCGTAAATATTGGTTACTTTATATATGAAGTTTTTAGTGGTTAAATTGTGAAAAATTAAACAGATTTTTGTTTATGGCAGCAGGTGTGGTGAGATGACAATGCAGGAAGTGCACAATAGAATGAAGCTGACCAGATTCATTCATAATCTGAGTTGAGTTAAGGTCCATTTTAGAAGTTTAGCTAATACTAAAAATACTCTAATCCTTGAGTTTTATTGTTTAGCATGACTGTACAATTTGCGTGCTGAAATTATGTTTTTATTTTAATTATGTTTTTTATTTAAATGTTTTAAAGACCAAGTTTTGAATAAAATTAGAATAATATTAAGATGCCAATGTTACTTTAATGTGCAATTTCTATCTCATTTTACCATTGTTAATTTTTATGCAGAAGGTTGATTTGAGCAAATTGGAATGGCTGCATTGTGGAGATATTGGCGACACTTCAATCTGGTAAGCAAATTGTTTTACTCATCTCTTTTGGCTGTTTTAGTGTGGAATCAAAAGCAAATTGTTTTACTCATCTCTATTTTCATGCATAGAAATTAGAATGGTAGGGAACTGACAAAAGGTGTGTCAAACTTCATCTTCAATTCAGTTCATGTTTTTATCATCAAATGAAATTTGAGACTACAGTTTGTTTAGATTATTTAAGGATAGGTAGTTAGGTACATAAGAGAACAATACCGAGTATGATATTTTTGTTCAAGTGACAGCTTTTTAAAAAATATGTATTGATATTTTTGTTGAGATTTTGATTGAAAATTAACACATATGGTGTGGTTAATTTTCTTTGCAGAAACTGAAAAGGGAATATTTAATGCCATATTTGAAGGCGAACTTAACTTTGTTAGGGAACAATGGCCATCAATATCAGACGGTGCTAAAGATAAAAGATCTAGTCAGGAAGATGCTGAATCCAGATCCAAAGAAGAGAATTACTTCTACACAAGTCCTTGGTAGTACTAGACTAATATTTTGGCTTAATCCCCAAATTACTCAAATCACAGTAGTTCTTTATAGACTATTGCTTATATTTTGGCTTAAGTTGTAATTTGAATTTATGTAGTCATATGGATTTATGTTGAATTTAAGTTGTAGAAATTTATAGCTCAAAAATGTGTTTTTGGGCTGTCCAATGATCCGATTAAACCGTTTGTATTAACTCGCGGCCCGTTATAACCCAATCCGGCCAAATCGATTAAGAAAATGGGTTTATATTGGTCAACTGCGGGTTCGGTTGGGTGAGGCTTTTGGGCTCAAAACTGTCCAACCCGGCCCGTTGTCCAGCTTTACTAACATCGTGTTGTTGACAAGATAATATGATAAATGATATGTACACGACAATAATACCCTTAGAGTGTGTTTGGATGAGGTAATTTGGAATTTTTAAGGAATTCACAATTCTGAACAATTGATGAAGAATTAAAATAATTCATTGTTAAATTTTCGGGATCATTTTCATAAATTTTAAAATTTTTGAGTCATTCAAGTTATAGAGCAATCTCAAATTCTTTATTTTTTATGTCGTTTGAAATTTCTTAAATTTGACTTGAATAAAATATTTCTTAAATTTACATTATTTTAACAATTCTTCATATTTTTTATCCAAACAATGAATTTTGATCAACTCATTTTAAATTCCTTCAAAAAATTACTTTTCTTCATTATAATATTTCATCCAAACACACTCTTAGATTAATGCGAGGAAATTATTGAAGCCACTCACGTGTTAGGATTTGTGTACATATACATGCGCGGACAAATTCTTCATTCTTAATTTGGTTATTTTAGGTTGTACCTTTTATTGCCGTTTATATCACTATGACCATTAGTTGTTGGTTTCACATAATTAAATTCGACAATGAATTTCTACCAAAAAAAATCCGACAACGAGCAAACCATTAGTAATACATTTTGACTACACCTGTAAAAGTGGGCGAATTACCTTCGTCCCAAAATGGGAGACTTATTTGGTGTGGCAGTTGGGAGGGTAGCTTGGATGTGGATGAGGTGAGAAAGGAGGAGGAGCTGAAAGTTAGGATTCAATTATTTTCCTTGAGAGACAATGTTAGGGATAGCTGGGTTTGGCATAAGAGTGTTTGTTCGGTTAAAGAGGCGTACTCTGTGATTATAGAGGATATCACCAACGTTAGAATAGAAGACAGGAAGTTAGTGGTTGTTTGGAACAATTTAATTCCACTCAAGGTTTCGACTTTGGTGTGGAGGATTTGGAAAAATAGGATACCGTTGAGAGATAATTTGGTTAGTAGAGGCATCTTGGTTGTATCTCAAAATTCATGCCCACATGGCTGTGGCAGAGAGGAAAATGTTGCGAACATTTTCTTCGAATGTCCGTTAGCTTGATCTGCATGGAGCAAGGTCCTAAGATGGCTCGACTTTATTTTAGTTGCTCATAATTCGGCTATTCAGAACTTTGTTCAGTTTGCAGGACTCAGCAGTGGTGGGCGCGTGTTTATAGAGAGGTTTTCTATTATCTGGTTTGCGTGTATATGGGTCCTTTGGAAGAGGAGAAATGATAAGATTTTCCGCAATTCAGAAATCAACAATAATGGTTGTCTAGAAGATATTCAGATGATGTCTTGGCGATGGTTAAAGGCGAAAATAAAAGGCTTTAGCTATAGCATAAATCAGTGGATTTCGAACCTGTTGATTTTCTTAGGGTGGAGAGGCGAATAACTACGGATTGTTTTATGTTTTCAGCTCAGGAAACAAAATTCATTATGAGTAGATGGCTCTGGTGTCTACCTGGTTATGTTTTCATTTTGGTTGAGTCTGCAGGTTTTGGGTTGGTACGTTGGCCCTGGAGTGCTCACGGTAGTTCTGCAGGTTGGGTGACCAGCTGGTGTTCTCTTAAAGTTTGTGGTTTGACAGACGATACTCAAGCTCTGGTTAGGATGATTTTATAGTTGGATTAGGAAGTGAGCTTGGTGGATAGTAAGGATGGAATTTACAACTTGCGTCTGTGGGATGGGGAGCTGTTTCAGCTGGTGATCGGGATCTGGTGGCGATTCAACAGAAGATGATGTTGTAGCTGAGTTTTGTGTAAAGGCACTAAATTTACTCCTCTGAAGTATTCAATGTTGGTGTCATAATTTGAGGATGAGTGCGTCCCAACGTGTTTTCCGTTCCTCTCCCACTACTAAAAATTAGGCTTACATCAATTGGTTAGATAAACTAGAAAAGAAAAGAAACAATTCTAGAAAGAGAAATGCATCTATGATTTTATTCAATTCTCTAGAGTTGGTCCCAAGTACAACACCAATATGCTTATTTCAGCCCTTTTCGTTTTGGAAGGATCGACTAACGCATTTCATCTTTGTTGTGTAATGGTGACCCTTACCCTCTTCGATGTGGCTTCTATTACTTGCCTTCAACCCACCGGGGAAACTCTCAACCATTCTTTCAAAAATTAAATCAAACCAAACTTATTTTTCCCCATCCAAGTTGTAATAACTACATCGAAGATTAATGCCAAGACCAACATGACGAAGTTCCTGACCATCAACATATTGCTTTCATCACTTTTTGGTTATCCTATTTTGTCTTTTGTTCTAGCTCTCTACAGGTTTCCAAGAAGTTCACAGCTTTGGCAACCAAAATCCATCAGGGGAGGAATATTTGTCTTAGCCAGTATATTTTAGGTTCTCTATATGAATCTCTTGAGCTTGCTCTGTCTGACCAAAAATCCATAACTGATCCAAATCAAAATTTTATGATCTATGGCCATATGTGACTTCTCTAACTTAATGCCTCTTTTGAACCTTCCCTGAGGGTTACCATCCCTTCCGACTTAACAAAATAGGTCAAAGAAATACGGGTCGAAGCCACTAGGCTTAATTTTCTCATTCTAGAAGATATTGGCCTTTCGACAGAAGAAGCCTTCAAGAAATACTTCTTCATGTATTCAGATTGCGCTACCTTTGTCTCCTTTATGGTCCATATTATCAGTCGAAGTTATGGGCTAAATTGGTTTAAAAGAGAATTTCCACCTCTTTCTTATGATCAACATTTTGAGGCTATCGATACTTGGGTAACTTTTCTCTAGCCTACTATACTATCGACCAGAATTACTCTGGGAAAAGGCAGCCTGGGAATTGTTAGCTATTAGCCCAACCTGGTGGCCAAACAATTTGGCTTCAATCAATTTCTATCCAAGTCTTTTTTTAGTAATATAGTCTAAATCGTCTCGGACACGACTGAACTGTTAAAATTATAATATCAAACATGCATAAACTTCCATACCAAAGAAGTCATTACTCTAACCCCCTTTAAATTTCAAGCATCTTATCTATGCATACAAAGATTCAAATATTAGTGGTCATCTTATCATCTCGCCATTTTTATGGATCATTCGCTTCTTCTTCAATGTTTAACGAACACTTTTTCATCTTCGCAGACTAAATTCAAGAAGAGTCGAGGTACGCACATCAATGAAATTCAAACTTTTTAAAATTATTTCAAAACTGTGTAAAACCCATGTCATCTTATTTGAACTATCTATGATGCAACCCTTACTTTAAAACATAAAGTCACTGAAAAACTCTCAAACTTGAAAATTCCTCCTTATGTAAAAGAATAGTACGATTTTGCATTAAAATTTTACTTTTCTAAGCTTCCACCATTACCAACTTGTGAATTTGGTTTGACTTATCGAGCGCCATTTCCAAAATGGTTCCCATGTGGGTCTTGGATGGCCTTAGAAAACAACTTAAAAATAAATTGATCACATAGTGGTCCTGTTTACCTTGGTGTTTGGTAAACAACCGCTGATCCTCCAAATGGTTACTTATTTGGTTACTCGCAGGATCGATCAGATTGATCCTATGGACATAGGTTGATTTTGAAGTTTGATTAATGTGGATAAGGCTTTAAATAAAATGTTTCAAGTAAATTGCATAAAGGAAAGGCTTGGTAAAATAAACAAGGCTTTAAAGTAAAGGTTCGACAGGAATTTAAAGGGGAAAAACATGTAAAATACTGGAAAAGTAAATGACTTTTAATTGATAAAATTGGTGTTTCACACATATATTTCTCAACAATTCTTTCGCTCACACTGGGTACTTGAATCTAAATGAGTGACTATGTATATGATTGTGAACACACGCGAGAAACTACACGTCTACTCCTATTTATACAAAAACATTCCAAGTAACCGTCGGGCAGTTACACTGCTTCGAGATTAAGCCACTTGGCACGTTCTCCATGCTCGACGCTCCAGATCCTTACACGTTTGCACGTAGTAACTGCTGGAAACCGTTTTCCCTCCAAAGCTTTGAATTTCAAACTGCTCCACTCTGGACCATCGAACACTTTCATCAGGAAGCGTCTTCGACGAAAACTTCTTCGACGTCGAAGGCAATCAGCCTTCTTCCTTGGAAGAAATCTTCTAAGTATTTTGCCATCTTTCGACGGGCACTTCGACAGGCTTAGCCAGTCGAAAGCATCTTTCAGCTTTTAATGGCTGCCATCAATCAAAACAAAGGTGTCGAATTTAGGAGCCAACAAATTGCCCCCCAAGAATGCCTTATTTCGACTCTGAAAGAAAAAGGCATTCTTTGAAAACGCCATTCGACACCTGTTTTTTCCACGCTTAGTCACAAGTTAACTTGTGCACTTTTTGTTGCTTTTTACCAACTATTGGCAATCCCAAGAAACCATCATTGATTTGATCCTAGGACGTCACTTTCAGTACGGCGTGCAGTACCAAACATCACTTCAGAATTTGTCATTATGACAAATCCCAAAAACGAGGACGCACGCTGCGTCTCTCTGTTTCTGCAGAAACGGCCAAAACAACAGGATGCTGCCACGCGTCCCACTAATTCCTGCAGCATTAAATGACATTTAATGTCCTCGTTATTGGGAATTTCTCCCACTACTATAAATAGTAGTGAATATCCCATTGTGGGACTTTTCACGCAAACTAGCCCTCAAACTCCCTTGCTTTCATACAAACTTGCTCTCTTTGCAGAAAAACTCTTCCTTTTTCACTTCATCTTCATCTTCAACAATGGCCTCTGCTTCTACTGCCCCCAAGACTAACGCAACAACTGAGCAACTTGTTAAACCCAAGGTCTTTGTTACTGCTCCGGTAGTGAACTCCACAGGGAAACGAAAGGTCCCTGAACCTTCTGACATCTCCGTTCGCGATGCTTACTCGCGTCACTTGATGATTCCGGTTGGATACTCCAACCAAATCTTCGCAATGTCTGGACCCATGAACCCCAGCATCTCTGAAGCTCTGAAGATCAAGAGCTATTTCCCCATCGTCGAGAAACTCAAGCCAGTAGCATGCGCCAAGAAGGACGCAGAAGACAACGAAGACCCTACACACGAGAAGATCGACCTTCGTTTCTTCAACAAAAGTGTTAGAGTCTTCAGGTCTTGCCCTAATCTGACCTCTGACTATGTTGCTTGGCTAACAAAGTTGGAGAAACATCAAACTCCAGTCTGGAAGGAAATGGGAATCTTTGACCTAGTAATGTTGTCGAAGACAGGTTTAAACTACTCCCCAGAGATGCTTATAGCTTCGCTGTTGTTCTGGGATAACTCTCACTTCACCTTTCACCTTCCATGTGGGATGTTAACCCCCACACTCTTCGACGTAGCGGCCATCACTGGCCTTCGACCAACCGGAGATTACTTCGACCCGGAAGAGATGTCGGAGGACCAAATTGGCTTCTCTGAGACCAAGCCAACATACACCACCTTTATCAACCATTATCACGACAGGTCGACGGATTCAGTGTCGGATGTCGAACACATAGCGTTTCTAGCCTTATGGCTAACTCGCTTTGTGTTTTGCTCGAAGTCTCTACAAGTGACCAAAAAGATGGTCACTCTTGCCACCCAACTGCATCACCGCCAGAACATCTGTTTGGCAGAACTAATTCTGGCCAGTCTTTATGACTCAATCAGCAATGGGGTTACTCTCCTGAAACATATCGAAGATAGGAACAGTTTGCTACTCGCTGGGCCTTTCTGGCTACTTCAACTGTGGCTCAACGCCACTTTCGAATCTTTCTTACCCACGAAGATTCAGATAAATGAACAAGCCCCAGCGATAGCTAATAGACGTATCGAAGGAATTAGGCTGGCTCTACTGACACCGGTGGAAGATGGGCTGGAATTCCAACAAACCTTCACTAACTTTGTTCTGATGTTCGCTCGAAGGAAGGAATTTGTTTCAACCATGGCTCCATTTGCTCAACGGAAAGTGGGGCCAGCATGGTTCACAAGGCCACACCCAAAGGAGTCGAGTGGTCCCAACGTCGATGAGCACACTGTACTTTGGGAGGCGTTCCTGACACCCAGGATCATGCCTCTTTGATTTAAGAGTTCTA